AGATTTGGGTTTAAGATGGGACATCAGCTGTACAAAAAGATCGGATGCTTGGTGCAAGGAATTGAATCGCTATGCGAAAGAACAAATGCAGGTGAATGCAGTTTATCCGTCCTAACAATGATTCATATGACAGTCGCGCTGTGCGATCGACTTACACGTTGTTACACCCTTTACGTTTTTCTTCGCGCCTTCCTTCGTATGGCTGTCGACTCGCTTGGTCTGATGAAAAGAATACAGCCACACTGATAAAGTTTCATACTTTAAATCTCAAGCCCGTCAACGATGTCCGGCAACATAATGGCTGAATCGTCAAGGCAGATTGCTAAAAACATCTAAACGATCTGCGTAGTCGATTTTTCAGGTCGAAAACTTAAGACATCTAAGCATGTCGCGGGTTCAAACATAAAGAAAAGACCTTTTCATTCTTGCATGGTGTTACATTTTGTTTTTTTTTACTACGACCATTGGGAAAGTTGGATGACTGACACTGTTTAAGGGTATCCAAATAACAAAGTAGTTGCTTAAGCTGAACTTAAGCATGCGATCAAACATGGTTCGAGGCAAGGGCTTGAGTTATTAAAGACATCAATAAAATTTTACTTCGTCATATGGAAAATTACTTTAGCTTCAGTTTGTTGCATCAACTAACAACCGCAAGACGAGCAGAAGAATCAGATATTCCATGAGTAGCTTGCCTGTCATTTGCTGGTGCGTCAATCGAAACCTCGATTATTCTTGAAAAGTGGTGGGACAATTTGTATTTCACAATGAATAAAGGGAATAGCGGGACCCTTAGGTAAAATAAGTGACTTTTGTATTAATTACAATTTAACATGACAATGGTCACTGGTCAACGGTAGTAATATAAACGATGCTTTGAAAACGGCGTTTCTCAGGAATGGTTCCTTCAGGTGACGTTTTCTCTGTGGAAGGAGTAAGTAGTGATTGACATTGTCGAGTGATTCTTAATTTCGAAGCTTTTGCAGTTCGAAATTTCAATTGATGCAATATCGAATATTTTTGTCGAAGGTATTCAAGCTGCCTTGAATTGCCTAGTTTCATTTTCCTCACATAGTGAGAAATTTTCTTTTTAAACGGTACATACTGCAGGACTCAGATGTCGCAAGTGCTAAGAGTATTACCACACATCTGAGATGGTCTAGCAAATATTTCTCACAGTTCAGAAACGCGTTTCACGAAGGCGACTTCAAGAGTCAATGTAAAAATATTAGCCTTATGGCAGCGAAAGAAATGCGAACATGTTTAACAGATAAAACAGACTTATGGATACATTTTCCTAAGAAACAACGGTCCATTTGAGAAATTTTTCAAACGGTAATGAAGTTTCGAAGTTTGGAGAGAAATACTATTCTAAGAGAAATGGTTTGCCTCCATTCATCTTCGCAGCATCGAGTATTTCGTTATGGTCAATTTGTTGCATCATTTGACAGCGCCTGCGCCAACAATAAAGGCCATTAGATGCGAAATAACCTACCGAACGTCTATCAGTGAATCGGTCGGAGAACTTTTATGTTCCTGAAACGTCCTGTTATACTTATGTTTCATTTTTCAGGTAAAACGAACCACTTGTAAATTAATTAGAATTTAATCTGTGTTCGTTCTTTCAGGCATAGGCAATGTCGACGATACTTTGAGAACCGCGCTCCTCAGAGATAGCTTCCTCCTGTGACTTTTTAACCGTGAGAAGGAGAAAATGGTGACTGAACTTTTAAGTTGATTCTTCCTTTAAATCGAAGCATTCGCAATTCGAAATTTCAATTAATCCATGCGGGTCGAATATCACTTTCCAACCCCATGGGTACTGCACTTGAGTAGCCGATTATCTTTGTTCTGTGCTACAGAAGGTGTTCTCGTCAGGTGCAGTAAATATAGTAAATCTTTGTTGTCACAATATGTCAGGTTGATCAATGTTATTATCTTTACACAGTAGTGGTCATAGCTAAATATCTCACTCATATTCCAGTGGTCGTATCATGAACACGACTTCTGACGCCAGAGTACAAATATTAGCTTATGGTAGTAAAGGAAGTTAATGCTCGTCTATTATAAACACTATATTATATACGACATATTTGTCGCTGGATTTGCCGAAGCCGATTTGCACAAGCCAAATGACCATTTTACTCGGCAAATTCATCAGTTTCGAACGTTAGTAGTTATTTGCATTTGGTGAATATTTCGAGTACGGCTGTATGCAAGCGTATAATATTACTCCATTTTCGTTTCTCTTATTCGCACAATCGCATTATTTCATTTGTTGAATCGTTTGAGGCACATGAACGAAAAACCAGAGCAGTTGTGTTGAATAAACGGATTAACTTTAACTATTGGGCTGATCACTAATTTTCCGTGCTCCTGTAATCTGGAAAGATACTTATGCTTCATATCTCAGGTAGAAAGAAAGAATTTCCTACTAATTAGAATTTAGTCCACGAAGTACGCTTATAAAC